TAAAAATGACATTTAATTTGGGGATAGTTTATAGCTAGGGGGAAAAAAAGTGTTATACAGTTTATACTCTAGGATTTAAATATAAACACAAAATCTTACACACATCTCCAGCTATGTAAACCCCTTAATTTGAGACAGTGAATTTGAATAGTGGATGTTTCTTTCATTATACTTTGATAAACCTGTGAAAACAAAAATGCTAAAAGTAATTACTGTTACTACTTTCCTTAAAAATGTAAAGCAGTAAAATTTTCCTAGACAAGAGGCATGGTCAAGTTACAAAAAAACTTGAATAGAAGTAGCATCATGGTCATGCTGAATGTCAATCTAAAAAAAGGGGGGGGGTTATGTCTAATCTGGAGAATGCACTTTCCCCTTTTTAAATTCCAAGAGTGGGCTGACACTAAACTTTACCACCAAGGATTTTTCTTTCTTTTTTCTTTTCTTTATTTTTTCCTTTTTTTTTTTTTTTTTTTTTTTAGCTTCACATCAGATTTAAACCTTCACATACAAAACCCTAGCTTCCCTGATGAGGCAGATCTTCTAAGCTGGATGTGAGAAAATGTTATCTAACTCTAGTGTAGGAGTCTAATGTTGGTAAAAAGCATTCCACTGTACAGTTCTGGGTAGCAAGACAGCCTCCGGATGACCTGATAGTCTTTGAATACCTTTTTTTTTTGGGGGGGGGGGGAATTCTTCTTCTACAGAGAGGTGCATTTAAACAAACAACAACAACAAAATAATAATAATATTATTATTATTAACTTGTTGAGCAACTCTGCTTCCATAAGAAAGCAACTGCAACCCAGAGAGGGGTTGAGTTATTCCCTTCCAAGTGAGCCTTCCCTTGCACAACAAAGATCAGCATTTGCAATGGTCCATTTCTGCATAAATGAACATATAGCCTTGCTGCTTGGTGGAATAGTCCAGGGCTCTCCACGTCCAGCTCCTGACAACAACCCAGCAGCAGTTCTGTTTGATCTCTCCTGCTTCCTTAATTTGGGTTGTCAAGGTTCAGCAGTTGGAGGCTGTTTACTTTACTTTTCCAAAAAAAAAAAAAAAAAAAAAAGTGATTTTTTTTCTCTCTCTCTCTCCTTTATACAATGACTAATCCAAAGTCTGGAGAGGGGGTGATGCAGCCAGTGGCAAGATGTTAAACCTTTTTTTCCCTTTGCAGTGAGATTCTTAGCTGACACCTTTTGAATGGTAAGGAGCTGAGTCGCTTTTTATATTTTTAATGCTCTCTAATTATGAGACCTTTCAAACGAAAGACAGGGGGTAAAAATTTAAAAAAAAAAAATTTAAATTCCAGATTTCTGAAAATATGATCCCAGTATGCTTTTCCTGGACTCAAAGAGGTGGGTATTTCTACTGTGAGAATCAAAACTCCAGAGGAATTCTAAAACAGAAATCAGCAGGAACTTCTGTCTCAATTATGCAGAATAGCCCTGAGTAGACAACACCTGAAGTCTTCCTATTTCCCTTCAAATTCTATTTAAGAAATCTCCCCCCAAATTGATTCTCAATGGAAAAAAATGAGAGTGGGGGTTAGGAGTGAGAAGGTAAAAATATTGCAGAAATTCTTCCACGTATTTTCAACAGTAGAGAAATTCCTTAAATATCCTTGAGGCTTTCTTAACTCAGCTATTGATTGTACACGTCCTAAACCCTCAAGTCTGCCGACGAGCAAAGGTGGAGGGTCTCAATTCCCAGTCTCCATCCAAAGGGAACCCAGAAGCTCGTGATTAAGGGGCAGTATCAAAATCAGAAACGCTAACTTAGGAAATACCTCCATCTGGACATAAGCGCACCCCCAACCCCACAGAAGAGCACTGGAGTGCCTCAGAGGCGACCGAATGAAATGTTTATATTAATCTCATTTTTCGGCTCAAGCCTCCCGGAGAGGAGGGCTTGGGGGTGGGGAGGAAGGGAAGACGAAGAAATAAGTTTCATTTTGGGTCTTCTGGTCGAGTAACAAGAAAATAAATTAGGAAGAGAGGGTAGAATGAGCCCAGGCTAAATCAATACACTTTGTAATCAGCCTAGCAAGGGTATTTGGACACAATGACTTGGAAATAATTAATAGTTTGAAGGGGGGAGTGGGGTGAGGAGACCCAGGGATGTCACCATATTTTATCGAAGCACGTTACCCTCCACGCTAAACTTTGATCTCCCGATTTTCGGATTTAGGAAAGAAAGGGGGTAAAAAGGGAGAAAGAAAGTCCTGTATTTCGAAGCACCTACCGGCTGGAGGGTGGGCACATTCCTTGCTCTGGGCGCCTGATCGCTGCGCTCGCACCGCCCTGGCTGGCTGTTTGGACAGGGAAAAGCCCTGGTGCAGCCCGGGATTCTCGGGTGTCCCTAGCCCCGCGCCCCCCGCCCGCGTCTTCGCCCCGGCAGCCGCGGCCGCCCCGACTTACCCGCGGAGTCCGGGGAGGGATGGGAGCGCTGCCTTCACGCCCGCGGAGGCGGCGCCGGCAGCACCATCGTCCCCGGCGCGGCTGCCGCTGCCTTGGGCCCGCTCGCTCGCCGCGCGCTCTCTTCCTCGGGCAAACTTTCGGGGTCTGCGGTCGACAAGAAACCGGGGCGACTCTCTCAGCAAGTCTTTCCCCGTGCAGGTTGGGGGAAATCGAAGGGGACGGGACGGCTGAGTAGGCGGAGGGACCGAGACCAGAGAGGGCAGCGGGCTCGGAGGACCCTGAGAGCGCGTGGAGCAGAGAGGACGCGGCTCCGGGAATCCCAGCGAGGATCCCGAGACCGGGAAATCGGCCCGAGCCCAAGTCTCCGCACCTTCCCCAGGATCTCACAAAGTTGCAACAACAAAAAAAGAAGGGGGAGGGACGGGGGAAGGGGGTGGGATAGGGAGACGATCGCGGGCGCACGGTTTGGAGTTACAACTGTTTATTTAGTCCTTATTCTCTCAGGGGGCGGGAGCTGCGCGGCAAAGGGGGACTGCAGGCAGCGATTTCGAAGCAAACACTTGGGAGGGGGCATGCGACTTTGTTTCTGGGCGCGGAGCTCCCCGGCGCCCGTGTGTGTGTCACCGCCAGTCTCCGGGGACCGAGGCGGAGCTCACAACAGGTGGGGAGGGGGGCTCGCCGAGGGCCAAAAAGGAGAAGGAATCAAAGTTTCCGAGCGCGGCGGTGTCTGGGGAAGAGGGGGGCGGGAGGCGGGGGCGAGGGGAGGCGGAGGCAGCAAATGACCGCGACCCCGCGGCAGCTGGCAAACTCCTCGGCTCCTGGCGCCACCGCCACCGCCTTGGTCCCCACCCCAAGCGCACGCCGCCTCGGCTGGTCGGCTCCGGGAAGTCGTCTCTGCGGGACAGGAATGAAGAGCTGGGAGCTCGGGAGGAAGGCTGCGCGCAGGCGAGGAATGGAGAGCCATCGGTTGCCGGGACAAGGCTGGAGGGACGCGGCGACACGCGTGCGTCGCAGAACCGACCAGGGCTTTGGAAATCCCCCCACCCCATTCCCTAGGCTGGAGGGGTGGGGGGGGGGGGTAAAACCAGAAAGTGTGCGTGGCGAAGGGAGGAGGATCCGGGTACTGCGATTCCTCGCAGCGCACCCTGTTCCCGTGCCCACCCGAGGATCTGGCCACGGCTGTTGCCGGCGCCTCTCGAGGAAGCCGGGGCCGCGGGGAAGGAACGCGCGTGGGGTTGTGTGTCTGGTGGAGGGTGCACGGGTGTGTGTCTCAGTTTTCAAGGATCCGGGGGCTAGCGGGAAAGCGTCCCCACTGCTGGGTTCGGGACAAGGCTCGCGTGGCTCCGGAGATGACCCCAAGCTTGGGGCCCAGGGCGCAGGCGTCCCTAATCAGTCCGCCAGGGCCCTCAGGGCAGCCCAGGGGCACCAAAGGGGCACACACCCGTGGAAAGGAAAGGGGAAAAGTTTGCTTCGAGTCCAAACTTTGAGCCCAGGAGGCACCCGCCGCATGTCCCCTCCCGCCGCTGCCCAGACCCGGGCCCTGCACCCGCCCCGCGCCCCAGTGGCCACCGGACGCCGACGCTGAACGCTGAAAGTTGCGACAGGCGGCCTGGGCTTATTGATTTCTCTAGCCCAGGCGATCGTGGAGAGCGCAGGGAGAGGCGGGAAGGAGCCGAGGAAGGCGATCTCGCCTTCTCGCAGCCCACACCGCACCACCCCCCCGTTTGACTTATGCAAATGGACCCAAGGGTGCGGGCGCCGCCGAGCTCCCCCACCCTTGCGCTGGCTCGCGGCCCCCACCCGGAGCCTGGGCCCGGACCTGGGGGAGAGAGGAAGAGGGGAGGGCTGGGGAGATGCACGTGGAGCCTGGAGGTGGAAAGTAGTTGTTTTTTTTTTTTTTTCTTTTTTTTTCTTTTCTTTTTTTTTTTTTTTTTTTTTGTGCTGGTTGTTGTTGTTGTTAAAGTGGCGGAAACAAGGCAGGAGGCGGCTTGGGAAAAAGTGGAGCAGAAATGGAAAAATACAAACTCACCCGCTGCAAATGGTCTCTCGGTGCAAACTAAGGTGTTTTCGGGCCTTTCCCCGCGCGCGCCCACTCCCGCCCGCGCGCGCGCCCCGCGCACACACTCACCCGCGCACACACACTCGCGCACACACGCGCGCACACACGCACTCCCGGGCGAGGGCCGGGCCGCCGCGTACAGCATGCCGCCGCCACACAATAAATAACAATAGATTCCTCCGCTGCGGACTAGCTTCCCGAGCCCCGCCGGCGCCCGCAGAGCGCACCGTGCCGGCCCGGCCCGCCGCCCGCCTGCCCGCGGCCCGCTGCGCCCCGCGAGGCCCCCGGAGCCCCCGGACGTGAGCCGCGCCCGCCCCGGTCCCCGGGCGCTGCGCCCGCCCCCTCCCCCCGCATCCCGGAACAAATAAATAAATAAGGCGCGCGAGAGGCCACCACGTCGCGGAGGGAGATGTTGTTATTTTTTGCTGTTGTGCGTCCCTGACGTCACATCCACCTGCTGGGTAAACAACAGGGCTCGCAGCAAAAAAAAAAAAAAAATCGCAATTGCAAAAGCGGGGGATGGGGGCTAAGGCTGGGGGAGGGGAGGTGTGGGGCGACCCGGCTGGATGGAGAGAAGGGAGAAGCCGAGCCCCAAGAGCAGAAAGGAAGAAGGCCAGAGCAGTCCCTGGCAAGAGAAGAATCTGGCAGGAAAGACCTGGAAAATAAGGGGTTTGGGGGCGCGGAGCTCCTCAGAAGATGGGAAAGGGGAACTCCTGCAGACCCCGGAGAGATCGAGAGCCCGAGAGTTAACTCCTGGGGCCGAGATGAGAGCGCGATGGCTCTTTGCTGGTCTCCGAGCTGATCGTACCGAGGGAAGGGGAGAGGCGAGGCGGGGATGCGAGTTTCCTCAGTTAAAAGTGAAAGTGTTTGCCATCAGTGACAGCTGAGGCTCGGGGAGGTCGGCGGCGACCTGGGCCCCTCTCTCCTCGCCCGTCCTCCCTCGGTCTCTCCTCTTTCTTTTCTGCACTTTGTCCAATGAAAGAAGGCGAGTTCGGGAGGTGAAAGTTCAGCAGAAGGACAAACCCCTGTTTGCAAGGAAACAGAAACCCCGCCAGCGAGGGGTTTTTCCTGGTATCGCGGCATCAGGAGAGTGCACGGCGGGGCGAGCTTCCCCCCTTCCCTGTCAGTCACTGCAGGAATGCACGGTCGGGCCCACTGCGGGGAAGTGGCTGCTTTGGGAACTGCGTTCCTGCCACGGCTCCTCTTAGGAAAACACCCGGGGGCTGGCATGTCAATCAGTTGTTTAACACAAACTACCTGCTCGCCCACAATCAGTCACGTGCAAAAGCTTTCCCAATTGTGCAAAGGTGAGATTTTTTTTTTCTTTTGGCCGTTTTGAAGTTCGCTCGAATTTTAGAAATTTGAAGGAGGAAACGAGGAGCCCGAAGGAAATCTTTTTAAATATATACATCTATATTAAAAAAAAAAAAAAGGATACTAGTATTTCTTTCACTTTTATCAATATAAATAGAGGAAGAGGCCGAATTTATTTCCAAAACGTGACTTAGAAATATATAGGTCCTCCACTGGCTTGTTGCTATAACAGAAATAATTTTTTTTCAGATTCATCACCCCGGATGCTGCCAAACTCCCAAGCCAGCACGTACAGGTTCTAGCTGGATGGTTTACACCAGGCCAGTTCTTCATCAAAATGCCTCAGGAGCCAACCCTCTGAATTCCTACAAAGTACTTCCCGCAGGAGAGCGAGAGACTTGCTGTCCCTTTGGTCTTGACACTAGCACAGTTGTAGATAACAAATATCCTGAAAGGGATATTATAAATTCTTTTGGGTGATGTACTTTTACAAATACGGCTATACATTCATTGACAGGAGATTCAAATCTCCGTGTCAATGACAGGCTACCACTTACCACTTTTTAAAATTGTATCTGTTTTGCAAGTAAAAAAAAATAAAATTAAAACCAAGCCATTCACTGGTGCTGTACAATCAGGCACGAGGGGCTGCGATCAGCTAGTTCCAGCACAGCAGCATCCATGCATGAGGCCCCGGCGCCAGGCTCCAGTCTACCCAGACAAAACCATCCGCCGGATCTTCTAGGCTAGAAACTGGATAGATAAAACGCATTTTAGTGTTGCGTTTCCTAGCTTCCCAGAGCTCGGTGTTCCTGTTGTCTTTGTCAAGACATTAACACATGTTCTCCTGTGTTCTAGACCATAGAGTGGGCTTTTAGAGATGCCCAGATAAATAAAACTCCTGCCAGGAGCGCTGCAGCCTACAGCTGTCAATCATAACATCTAATATTTATTGAACGCTTTCTATGGCCTAGGCACTGATCTAAAAGCTTTATGTCAACTCACTTAATACTCTCCGCACCCCTTTGACAGCACTGGAGATTCCACATTCTGAATTCATATGGCATTATTCAAAAAAATCTACATAGTAGCCAGTCTATTGGGAAATTTTTGTTTTTAATTTCTATGATGTTTCTGCCAAATATAACTTGTTTATGATCCATGCCTGGTTGTAGAGAGTATCTCAGGGGAATAGCAATTTATTTAGACGTGACACATCTATTAATTGTCGGTGAGGTATCATCCTGATCTTGTTTTTCAATAAGCCACAATGGGTTGTGTTGTTTTTTTTTTTTTTTTATCATTATTGCCATACTAAAAAGATTCTTAGATTGCCACTGATCTCAGTCTGCATTTTAACTGCCTTAAATTCTACATTCATTTGCAAGTGGAGGCCAGAGTCAGGTTGGCAACAAGTTTGTAGACAAAAGGAAATCCTGGCTGTAAATCCCATAATATATGGCACTCTGCTTCATATGGGATGGTCTAATGCGGAGACTTATTAAGGAACAGCTAGCCCGCAGGGGCTCCCGTTCCAGGGAACTTACTGCAGCTTAACGTCTTGCTCATTGTCGACACCGCCACGTTACATTCGTAAGGAGCAGATTTTAATTTCTTTATCAGTAATCAACTGGAAGTTTCTTTTTGTTAAATTACAGCAAGAAGGGTTTTCAAATAAAGGGCATGGGGGTAGGACGCCACCTTTTGGTGATAAAAATAAATAGAAATCCTTTTTGGAAACATGTTCCTGACATAATTTTATTTTTAATTACACCCAGGCAATGGTGCTTGTCCCCGTTTCCTCATATTTTAAGGTACACGAAAGAAAAAGAACAATATAAATGGACAATTAGCAGATTACTGCTAACTGCAGCCAGGATTTCCCCAGAAGTACCAGAATGTGTCGGTGTCCTGCCGCACACCGCCAACTAGACATCAGCCAGAGCCTTAATCTCCACGTACTGTGCCACGGAATATGTGCACATTTTGGGAAAAGGACTTGGAGTGGAGACAGTTGCCACCTCCTGAGATGCCTGAACTCCTGGAAGTTTAGAATTGAGCAGAAATCAGAACAACCTCGTTCAGTGTCTCTTAAACCAGAGTTAGCGCCTTCCCAATTTTTTTGCGCTACCTATATGACGTCATTTCTACATAATCCTCACAGTGTACTCACTGGTGGGCAGATGTGGTGGTGGTGTACCATTTCCACTTCACATCAACCTACTTGGCATTTTTCTTTTACTACTTTCAGAGGGAATATGTGTCCGCCTCCATAAACAAGCACAGTGAAACAAAGTTACTGATTTCTGTTTGTGCGAGTTTAGCGAAAGGAAAGTAGAAAATGCATTAAAAGAGATTGACCAGGTACACTAAAGGTCCTGGAGACTTTTACAGATGCAAACCTCTCTGAAGGTTTTTCTTCTCCCCCTGCACGCCCCCGGGCTCTGGAACAAGCAGAAGGATTCAAAGTGATTGAAAAGGATACAGTCCTCAGCATGGGAGTCTCCTCTCGCTAATGCCAGCCCGTGCCCAGGCTGCACAGCAGCGTTATCAGATTGCAGGTGAGGCCCTGGGATTTAAACCATTCTCCAGAGCCAAATGATTGGTTAGTGACTGGACGAGATGCGAACCCAGGAGTGCTGACCTGGTGAATTTCCATCTCACTTTTTCCACATTCACAGATGTGACCCATCCTCAGACCTCAGGCAGCATGCCTAGCTCCCCAGGAACAGCCATCCTGTGTATCCCTTTAGAGACATGGAGAAACCGAGGCCACGCTCAAGATCAAGTTCAACGCCCTTCTCAGCCTCTCGGATGTGGCAGACACCTGAGTGGGCAAACACAGGGCAGAGGGAGGGCTGCAGGGGCGGATTTGCAAGTGTGGGTGGGCCGTTCTCAAAATGAAAGCCAAAACCTTTGATTTCCCTCCCAGAAGGTGAAAAATACTAATGAAAATCACGTGTTTTACCCTAAGTGCCAGGAGGAGCCCATCCTCTCTGTGCCCATGCCCCTGTCTGTCCAAGCTGGAGGTCAGCAGGGTGTCTGCTGTTTTACCGTATATGATACCAACGGGCACTGAGACCCAATCACATTTGCTAACTGTGTGGCTGGAAAAGTTAGCCAGGGGGCCCTGATCGACTCCAGCTTTGCAAGTATTTTCCTTAAAAACAAACTTCGCAGGCTCAGATTTAAATCTGGAGATGTAGTGTCCTTTGTGATATCCTAACCAGACAGGGGCTTTAGCTACCAAGACCGCATTTCCTGCCTTGTTTTATTTTGTTCCTTTAAAGGATGCAGTTGTATACACAGAAGTAAATATGGCCTGCCAACAGCTTTACGTTTTTCTAAATTGGTCCTTGTGACAAGAGGTTGCCAAGAACTCTACTGTATAGCAGTTGGCCCCAGGGACCAGATGGATTGGAGTCCCTCTGCATGACAATGCACAAGAAAGGACTTGGCCAGTTACCTTCATGCCAAAGAGCTGTCCCTGCGCCCTGAGCCCTGAGCACCCCTGCAAAATGTTGGTACCTCAAAGACACATGAAGGGAGTATCGGAGGCGCAACCAGCTGCCAGTGCTAGATCCCTCTTGCCTCTAGCCTTGTTGTGCAAAGTATGATGTGCTCCCCTGTCACACACCTGAGGGCATCTTAAAATGCAGAATCTCGGCCCCACCCGAGGCCTACTGAATCAAAATCTGCATTTTTTGCAACAGCATCCGCTGAGCCTCCCCCAGGCTGAGATGAAGTACTACAACCAGCCACATCTGGGTCCTCTTTACAGCTTGGCACTATTTGACAGAAGTTCCCATGAGCCGTCCGTCGGTCATACCTGATTCTCCAAACGGGCATCTTTTATAAACATGGGTTAGTTTCTTCTTTTTTATCCACTTATAAAGTTAAGCCATTAAATCACCCATGTAAAGCATGCTTAATTCCTTTGACATTAATAACAGGGTGACTTCTCTCTCCTGTTACCCCAAAGAGACTGCTAATTGCACTGCAATTGTTTACCTTTGTATTGTTTTATGAGAACTCAGGGAAAGATGGAAGATCTTCCCCACCAGGCCAGGAGCAAAACGCCAGACAGGTTTTGGAAAGCCTGAGCACATGCTATGACTACACCTTGTTAGTAGAAGGGCTTTGCTTTCTTGGTTTTGTTTTCTTTTTTATGGAAGGAATGACGCCTCCATAATTATAGGTGTTGCTGTTTAAATCTCAGAATGTTTTCCAAACCGTGGAGGGGCCACACCTCCAGCAGCCGCCTGTGAGCCATTGGGGTTGGACTCTCTCTCCAGCTTGATGAACAGTTTATAAAGACCCATCGGAGGGCGCCAGGATTTCCATGAGCTGGAGGGACAGCAAGGGGTCCTGGTCCGAGTAGGGCTGCTTCCTGCCTGGACATGAAGGACCCTCAGGTACTCTGCAGCCCTGGTGAGGTTCTCAGAGAGACGACAGTTGGTTCATTTCCCTAACGAGACAACAGGTTCCTTTTGTAACCCCCCAAAAAATAATTAAAACCATTGTTTTAATACTAGTCCTAAGGCGGTGTAATTAAGTCTCCGAGTGAGTAATTGTGTACCTGAATTCAAAATAAGATTTCACATGTAAAGCAAAGTTCTGATGCTAATCTCTGAGAAGTGTCTTGGCTTAGGTTTAGAGTGCACAAGTGCCAGCTCAGCATTACAATAGGCATTGTTAGGTAGGCCTGGAGGACAAGACTCATTTGTCTGAGAGGGGAGAAGAGGCAGGCCCACCCACCTGCAGGAACAGGGAAGCTGGGTGCTCCTCCCTGTGGAAGGCGTTGGGGGGACTGCGCAGGGTGAGGCACCCGCACTTTCGTGGATGAGAACATCTTCACATAGGCTTTTAAACAAGAATATCTACAAAATAGCTCTCAAGAGCAACTTCCCTATCCCCACGCCCAGGGTTCTTGAGTTATTGTTTTAAATTAAAAAAAAAAAAAAACTATATAAAGATTTAAAATTCAATTTGTCTGAGGACCGTAGGAATCCTGGGGTTCTGGAATGGAGAGTGAGGTGTCCCTGTGGACAGATTTTTAACACATGTGCAGTCACAAGATAAACAGGTACAGAAATAAATCGACCTGTGTGCATACGTGAGTTGGTATGTAAACATGCTTCTCAGTTTGGTGCACCGAGAGGCTAGAAGCCGGGAGCCCCCAGTCGCAGTGAGCACCCAGAGGCCGCAGATCTTGGCTTCTAGATACCTTTCTCTGATAAAAGAAATCAGGGCTCCTTGGAGAACCAGTTAATTCCAGGGGTGAGAGACGGATGCTGGAGTGTCTTGTGGTGGTGAAAGTTACTGGAGAAATCCTAGGACAGGGGTGGGCTTAGGAGAGGCCCAGGATCCAGCTAGGAAGAGCTCTTCAATCCCAAAGATGAGAACTTAAGGAAGAAGAGGAGTACTGGTAACAGTGGTATCTAGTATATAAGAAGTGACACCTCTTCCTTGTACGAGATGACTGGGGCCCAGCAATCCATGTTTTAAAGCAAGTTTTAGCAAATCATATCGATACTATGACCTAAGGAATTCAATCACTCCATCAGGTGGCTGAGATTATGGATGTCTGAGTATCATGTAGTCAGGAGCACCAAGCACACCAGCCCCAAGGACAAGGGGCAGATGGAGACTGGCGTCACCAAGAAAGCAAGTCCAAGACTGGAAGAGCTTCAGAGTTTTCAAGGCAGGTGAGAAGTACAGATTTGGGGGCAGGTATTGGGGGGACCAGGGATTGAACTCAGGGGCTCTCTACCACTGAGCCACATCCCCAGCTCTATTTTGTGTTTTATTTAGAGACAGGGCCTTATTGAGTTACTAGCACCTTGCTTTTACTGAGGCTGGCTTTGAACTCATGATCCTCCTGCCTCAGCCTCCCAAGCGGCTGAGTTACAGGCAGGTGCCACTGTATCCGGCAGGGAAGTTACAGATTTTGATGCAAATATTCCTCAGCTGTGAAATCCAGGATGGGCCAATCAAAACAGGCCTCAGGGTGTGTGGAGAGCAAAGGCTGCCCAAGTTAACCCCTGTCCTTGGGAAATCAAGTCCCCACGTCAGTTCAAGTGAGCAGGATGAAAACACAGAGAAGGGAGAGGTGGTGAGCACTCTTACTTATTCATGAATTCCTTCCCAAGCATGAATAAGTCACCAGGAGCCTGTTCTCCATTCTGAATGAGGTCAGCAAAGACTCACCTTTTCAAAATACCAACCAGTCCAGAACAGACCCTCATTATTTAGAAGATGCTGCTATTTTTTGTTGTTGTTGTTGTTCTTCCCCAAAAGAGTGAGTTCAGAAGTTCTACTGGGCTGTGTGATTCAAGGACTCCACACCCGGCCACCGCCCACCGCCATTATTTTCTCCCTCCATCTGGCGGGCAAGTAACCCGTGGGAGAGTCCAGAGGCTCCTCATCTCATCTCAGTCTGTCAGTCCTGCCCTCTAGAACTTGTGGCCCAGCTTGCTGGAGAGACCTAATGGGTATCAACAAGACGAATGCCTTCAAACATGCACCAAGAGGAGCGGAGAGCCAGGTGGCTTGCATGCGTGGGGCACGGGTTTGATCCTCAGCACCACATAAATAAATAAAATAATGGTATTTGGTCCATCTACAACTAATTAACAAAGAGTAGTGGGCAACACACAGAAATGGAGGCACCCAGGAAAGAACAGGGTCCCCGCAGACGGCCCTTCCTATGACGAAGTGAGCTTCCATGCAAGGGGCTGGCATGAGGGGCCATCTGCAAGTCCCAGGACGGTGGCTTGCATCGCTGTTAGAGGAAGTCTTTCAAGATCCAGTTCCCACCCCCGGCCTGTGTTTCATCGACCCGGAGCCCAATATAAGCACGGGAGACTCTTAAAAGCTTCCCAGGGGATTGCAATGTGTGGCAAAGTTTGGGGACCCCTGACCTGGGAGGGTCTGAGGACAGCAATGAACCATCAACTCTGCCAGTGGGAGAGACCCAGGGACCCAGAGTGAGCCCCAGCATGCTGTCCCTGTCCTGTGACCAGCACCCTCTCCTCTAGAGAACCAGTGGATTCAGCCCATGGACCAACTCCCCACAAGGGGCTGGAATTGCTTCTCCAGGGTCTTCAGAGTCTTCAGACCCTGAGTAACAGAATTACCTAGGTGGACAGGCCCGGTTTCAGACCTAAGAAACCAGGGTGTTGGTGACAGGCCACGGGAACAGACCTGTGCAGAGCTCGTCACTGAGTTCTGAGGTACAGCAGAGTCTGGAATCCACCCATAGAAGTTTCCAATATCTACCTCCCCTGAGCCTGTAACCATTCCACTGGTTTATTTATTGTTTTTGGTACTGTGGCTCGAACCCAGGGTGCTTGACCACTGAGTTACAGCCCCAGCCCTTTTTTATTGTGTATTTGAGTGAAGAAGTTCTCACTAAGTTGCTGAGACTGGCCTCAAACTTGCCATCCTCCTGCCTCAGCCTCCAGAGTCACTGGGATGACAGATGAGTGTCACCACTGATCCTCTGTGTTGAGCTCATTGGAACATTTTATCTATTTTGGAATTTATAACACATTATTAATAAGTAAGTATATTAGAGAACACCAGAGCCCCTTCCTCCTGTCCCACTCTGGCTTTGTACCTGTTGACCAACATCTGCTCTCTCCCCATCCACCTTCCTTCCAGCCTCTGAACCATGGATGTCCTCTATTTCCCTGAGTTTAACTTAGTTTTACATTCCACCTCTGAGTGAGGTTATACTACAGAGGTTCCTTAAAACCTAAAAATGGGGCTGGGTGTGGTGGCATACA